ACTAATTATTTATAATAGTTATAATACAAGTTGGCTCTAAGTGCTACAGAAGCCCAGAAAACAGTTCCTAAGTCTTCAGATTGGCTTACTTGAAGACTAGGAACAGGAGGAGGTGTTGGGAGAACTATTTCCTGTGTCACCTCTCATATTCCGAATTTGATGGAGCTACAGAAAGTTACTTTCTTTTTCATCTTGGAGGACAATAGTTCAGCAAATCATGGCTTGTACATCTCTTTCCTCAAAAGGTGTACAATTGGGTGAATGAGTTACTCCCCCATGATTTCTCTCCTTTATTCTATGCCCTGAGTGCTATTGGGGGTTTTATCTGAGCTATAAAATCCTTCTGCAGAGAGCATACAAAAGTCATTTAATAATGAATATTAAAGAATAACAAGTAAGTGAATCTTTTCAATTGAGCTTTTCAGCAACACTTTAAAATTTGTGCCTAAGGGACATGAATAGTGCCTTTTGTCTTTTTTCATATATTGTGAAATATGTAGTAAGCTACTTATTAGCTTTAAATTATTTCTCAATTAAGCAGCAAATGTACATGTGCATGTGTGTGTGTGCATTCATGCGTGTGTGTGTGTGTGTGTGTGTGTGTATGAGAGAGAGAGAGAGAGAGAGAGAGAGAGAGAGAGAGAGAGAGGTGTTTCAGAATATTCTGAGGATATTGCTTTCCAGCCCATAGATTTGAAGCATGGAAGAATCAGTTGTCTTTAAAAACATATTAGAAATAAGTTATTTGTATGAAAGCTAACAATCACTGAAGATTCAAGAGTTAACCTTCACAGGGATTCAGAGTAGTTTTGCAACAGCACCTCTGGATCTTAGGTGAAAATGACTAGTTAAAATCAGAGCATTTGAAAATTGGCCAATATAGTCTGACTTTAATCTCCTTCTTATAAAAATGCTATCTTGTATGTCTAAAGATATGTTTCATTGAAAACTCCAGGAAAATGGGAAGGGAGGAGGGGAACTAGAGGAAGGAGGGAAGGGTGTGGGTGCCCATAGAGGATAAAGAAGCTGCTGTATGATACCTGTGGACAAGCTAAGTCTTTAATGTTCCTCATTGCCTTGTCTTGGTTTCTTCTGTCCACCCCCACCACTGTAGTAGAGAGAGGAAGCATCAGATTAGACATTTCCCCAAATGTTAGTAAACACAATTACATAGCGGGGGATATTCTTAAAACGTGCTATTCCCCCACATAGCTAGCAATGCTCACCACTGGTGATGTGAATTTAAGGAAAGTCTTTCAACATCAGAACACCTGTGTGCTCTCTGCCGTGGTGATTCCTTCAGGCTGATGGATGTGGTGCTCCGTTCACTGGAATCCACACTTTTCCTATATTGATTTTATTATCAGTAGTTGTAATCACCGAATCATTAGCAGCCAATTACACAAACACATCTAAGCTAGGTAACCAACGTTATTGTCTACTGTCTGTCATTTTGTAATGAACCTGATCATCTTCTTGGCCAATTAAGGGTAGCTACATATTTTGATCTAGCTGACTTAAATGAAGTCTATTGAATTATGCAGTAGGTAATTACTTACATATGGTGGCAGAATGGGGGTCATTTGAGTGTAATCTGCTTCGTATTCTCTTTGAAAACTGCATTAGAGAAGGTTAATTGGTTAAAAATAAACAGATCTTGGCATGTTTGTGGGTCAAATAAAAATAGTAGTTATTTTTTGCTAACATAATAGGTCTGGGATAGGCAAGTGGATTTTTCATGCAATTCTCTAGGTTTCCAGGGGGATATTAAATATAAAGTCACACTAACCCTGGCAGTGACTCATTCATATTATGCCATTAGATCCTTGTCACGTGGCTATGGCTAACTATCAGGAATACTAGGGACTATGGTCTCTTTAAGGAAGAAACACAAAACTCAGGCTTTGTTTTGTGGTAGCAATATCTGTCATAAGGCCTCAAACTAAAATTGCTCTGTTTCTGTATGTAATGATTACTTTCCTTGCCTCGGTGTTTGCTATGTGGGAGTTATACCAGGCTAGCTTCACTTTTCTTCCTCTTTTGCAGAATGCTAGATGTCTTTAAATACCTATATCTGGTTCCTGCCTCTTAGAATTGCATGTATTAGCAGTTAAAGAATGAGATATATCAACTACTTGAAGAACTGTATCAAGTTTTCAAACTTGTACTTATTTTTAGGAGTTTATATTGTAAATATATAGGAAAGCATTAAAGTATTTGGCGCCAAAAGGTTGTTTCCTTAATTTTGTTCTAGGAGTGACAGGGAGAGAGAGAGAGAGAGAGAGAGAGAGAGAGAGAGAGAGAGAGAGAG